TCTCACGTGGACGCGGAAGAAGGCCACCTGGCTGTACTCCAAAATCGCGGCATTGGTACCTGTTGGACTATGTTCCCGTCCGATGGCCAGCTCAACAGAACGTGCTGATGATTAAGTCGATTTGTGACACCGATGACTGGACTGATCACAGCCCGTCACCTTCAAGTTGATGCTCTAAGTGGAAGCCCGCAGGGGACTGCAAGGTAAGCGACCACTAAGTTAGTAAACTACTGTCCCTTTGAATTTGCCCGCTCAAAACTTACGTTTTAGCAATCAGTTAGCCCAGCACCGCAGGACGTCACCGTGCAACGTCGGTGGTGCCACCTGTGGAATGCTATTCAATCCACTGTCTCGGGCATCCTCGGATGCGCACTTCGGCAACATCAGGGCTGATTCGACGACGACGCAAACATCAGTAAATTGCCTGCTGAAAAGAAAAGGCTACATAGAGCCTAAATTAGCCGCCCGACAGAGGCAAACTGAGCGGCCTTCCCCAGATGTCAGTGCCTCGTTCAACAGCGGTAGCGGGAAATGCAGGAATCTGGATGACTCGCAAGGCTAAGGAAGGCCAGGGATACGCTGGTTGCAGTAGGACAAAGAACTCCTTCGAGGTGAGCAAGGCTGTCTATAGCCCCATACGTAAAGGAACCTCGCCACTTCTCAGCCCCAACGTAAAAACCCTTCTAATGTAGAAATCGCAGATTATGAAACCCTGGGCCGATCACCTTAGACCTGTCCTCGGCCTACAATCTAGGATTTCTGACGCCGCCACCGATGGATTCCCTCATGAGAAAACGAAGGATTACTTAAAATTCCCGCCCTCCCTCCCATAAACCATCCGATTCATTCATAAATTCAAGAATACGACAGTCATCTATCTCAATGAACAGAAAGGGAACCGATAAGTATGTGCTAACCAAGGGGGAGTCTCGCTGCTAAATATCGCTAGGAAGCTATTTGCTGCCATCCTCCTTAACCGCTTCAACGGTCATCTTCAACAGGAATTTTTCTCGGAATGTCAGTATGGTTGCCAACGTCAAAGCATAACTACCGGCAGATGTCGACATTGTCCCGGACTCCTAAGGAGCGATCTACAGGCCAGTGGTTTTGTTCATGGCTTCTTCCTCCTTCTTGGTACAGATGCTCAGATTTGGTGGTTGGCAACGATCTTTAGCCTCAACTTAGTCTTGATAGACAGGACATAAATGTATCTTGATTTACTAGGGATCTACAGATATCATACTCCAAGATTCTAACTCTTTTGGAATACTGCGCCCTTATTATCTCCAGAGCGCACAGAATGAGCGGGTTTATCTTCCGAAATTTTAAAACTAGCGATATTAGAACGCGCCTTTATAAAATGTACGTTAGACCTAGGCTGGAATATGATTCGTTTTTATTTAGCCTCCTGCGTACTGCTGAGCGGAAGCAAATAGAATTCGTTCAACATTTTTTACCAAGAAAGTTTTAACCTCGAAACGCCGAAAATTGTCGTACCAAGAACGTTGCAGGCTTACAGGTCTTGACCCCTCGTGATTTCGTTGACTGCAAAAAGGGTGATTTTAACTGAATGCTATTGCCGACAATGACAATTGAGACTGTCGTTGATAGCATTCTGCCTGTATCATGCGCCGCTCTGCGACTGCTTGTTTGGCTCGGGAGAGGACCCATAAGGCACAACGGGAAGAGGAGGTTCCGTAACACGATCGGTGAGCGTCCGTCTGCCATTGTAACTTTCAATGTTTAAGCATTTGAACATAAGTTCGTACAATTTTTTGCTACTTTAAAGCATCCTGACCTCAACCGACGTAACAGTCATTGCGAGGTCTTCTTATTCTTTCTTCTGGCACGTTCTGTTGATATCGTCAGTTTTCCCCGGTGAAAGAAATTGCAATATGGAATAAGTTACACAGGAATATGAATATTTTGCGAGATTAGTCCTTGCCTGAGAGCGCTATCACTCGTTATTTACATTCAGAAAGACTCGCAATTGTGAATGAAAAATCTACAGAATTAATCTGCTGTAGTGATAACATTCGTGGTGCTGACTCTACCGCCCACGACGTTACGGACAATTTCTTTGGCCGAAAATGAGCAACTGTCCATTTATGCACCCTGCTTGGTGCACGGATCTCCACTCCATGAATTCGAATAGGGGCCGAAAACATCTTATGCAATGTTAAGGATTCCTTACCTGTACTGGCGTCATTTCCTCATATGTAGATTATCCGTCCCTTAAACTAGCCAGATTATTCGAAACACTACCATCTACATTTACCTCCCTAGGGTTTTTTCACTCCTAGCCTGGTCCATACTGTAATTTTCTTTGACAGTGAATATAAAATAGCATTTACTACTATTATCATTATCTCTGTCACTCCCCAGCTGAGAGAAATGCCGGGAGGTGCGAATCCAGTTAAAAATTATCTCGCGGACCTGACCAGAGCCCTCGGCACCGTGAATCGCGATTGACTGTGGAGAATCATCCAGAAATTCGACTTTCCTGGGTGATTCATGCGAATGGTGCCTCGAATCCGAGCGGGTATGGTGGCGCACGTCACGTACTACTGGTCAACCTCCAAAGCATTTGCAGTGACCAAATGGGTATGAGGTTAGCGTACTCTCCCAAACCCCCTTTGGTCTCATGTTTTCTGCCACGCTGACGAACGTCTACCCAGATGGGCGCCCCGGGTACGCATTGTCTACAGGACCGGAGCCAGTATCTCAAAAGCTGGCGAATACAGGCCCCGGCACCTCTCCACGACTACTGTCCATGGTCTCCTCTTCGCGAATGACTACGTATGCTACACCGCTTCGGAGACTGGCATGCAACAGAGCATGGACCTCTTTGCCTCCAGCTGCGGCAATTTCGACTTGGCAACCATCGCGGGCAAAACGGTGCTCATGCACTGACCGCCACCGAACGCTTCATAGAGTTCACCTCGCATCCACGCCAACGACTCCCAAATAAAGACCGTAGTCGACTTCAACTATTTGGGCAGCACACCTCACATTACATCAAAATCAACGACGTAACAGCCCACCGGGTCTTCAGAGCCAGTAAAGCCTTCGGTCGGCTGAAGAACCCCGTAAGAAATTGCCATGAACTCCGTCTTAAAAACAAACTGAAAATGTGTAAAGTGGTCATCTTCGCAACACCACTGCACGGTTCGGAGACCTGGAAGGTATAGGAGAAACAGGCGCAGAAAATCCATCACTTCCATGTCAGATGCCTTTGACGGATACTAGAGATAGGTTAACAGGACAGAGTCCCCGAACATAAATTTTGAAACGGACTGGAATCCTCGGCATCCACGCCATGCTGGGGCAACTACAACAACGCTGTAGCGGTCACCTCGTGATGATGGACGACGAACACCTACCAAAACAACTTTTCTACGAAGATGTCGCCACGGGTGTTCGCCGGCAAGGAGATCAGGCCCGTCGCTATAACGACACCATAAAGAATTGTATGAAATGGCCATTGATCAACCCGCAGATTTGGTAGGACAAGCAACGAGCCAACTGGCCTAGCGAAGGGCAGTGAGAATTAGAGCCACCATCCCTGAAAACGGCTGGGTCGGGACTGCTAAAGCCAAAAGGGAATCTCTCAAGCCTCAGACTCCCTGAACCGCCACATCAACATTCAACCCCTCTCAGCATGCTCACGATATCATCAAGCATTCTAGACGCAATGAATCAGTCCGCCAATCCCCACGGTTACGCTCTTTACCGTCCCCGCCCCAACTCTCGCGGCCTCCATGACGATGACTACTCCCACTACCACTGCTCGTCATCGCCGTTCACCAACATCTTCGTCATTCCTGTCACAACCCTTGCTGCGATAACGACGAACACTATTACAGTCCCCACTCTCACCGTCGATAAAAACGCTCCCGATGGCTTGTCAACCACTGCCCTAATTGCCACCATTTCCACCCCCCCCCCCC